TTCGCCGACGATCGTTCCGGCGACTTTTCCGACGACTGATCCGATTCCGACGAATATGTTAAAGTCACAGATCTATACAATTTGGTCACAATTCAAAATTTTCATAGGTCACAATTTGTTTATTGGTCACAATTTAGAAATCTAAAAGCCACAATTTGTTCATCGGTCACAGATCCCAAAATTTATAAGTCACAATACTTATTTAGACCACAATTTATCAATTTATTGGTCACAATTAATAATTTTTAGGTCACAAATTAATAATTTTTAGGTCACAATTAATAATTTTTTGGTTACAAATAACCAAATACTTGGTCACATACCACCAACAATAACCACTATCGTCGTCGCCCCCGCCACCACCTTATGGCAACCAGTACCAACACCACTGTCGCAACAACCACCACCCCAACACCAACACCACCACCGCCGCCAACACCAACACCACCTACACTACCACTTCCCAGCAACAAAATCACTAGTTTAAAAACATCGCAGCCAACGTCATAACTGTCAACACCACCGCACCGTCCCACCACCACCCTTACTGCAAAGCCGCTTGCCTGATCCATTGCTAGATCTAACATAATCGCCGCTACGCAAACACCACCACCACCACAGCCCCCATCCACGACTGAAAACACAGCCCAAAAATCCCACACCAAATCGCGACGATGCGGATCCCGACAAGGACTGGTAGCCCACCACCCATCCCAATAAAAGATCAAGGCGGTTCAGATCTAGCGACCACAGCACAAACATAACCACGACCACCATCACCGCACGTGCACACACCCAACCATCGCACCGCAACCACACCCACAGCAACACAGCAGCACCGTAAAACTCCATTGCACCACTAAAAAAAAAATACAGATCTGGATCGCGTAGAGTGCAGTCGGGGCAAGGCGGTGCGACGGCGCGCTACGCAGAGCTGCCCCATCCTTGGGCAGAAGTACCGCGCCTCTGTTACGAGAAGGCGACGGCTGCGCTCATATGCCGGAGTCCCCTTTCGTCGGAGTAAAAGAGATAGAGGAAGGTATAGAGAGAGAGAAGATGCGGTGGGTTGAGAGAGAGAGAGAGAGAGAGAGAGAGTAAAAAAAATAGGTAAATGAT